TAGTGGTTTGAGTATTACACATGGGTCGCTCTAATATATCTTCTCGTATCTTATCCCACATGGCCCAGTGGATCTTACAGAGACAGCAGTTTTTACCTCAAGATTACCGATGAGTTCATCAGATATTTTCCCATGTTGCAAACTGTACACAAACTCCAACATGGCAAACTCAGCACCGATCTCAACATCACCAAACGCTTCCGCCTCATCGAAACCTTGTCTGCAATGGTGCTCACAAGAGCCAATTTGACCAGTGACGCTTCTCTCCAGTCCACCAAGCTTTCCCATCCCACTGTCTTCTTCAGCTAGGCTCTTAGCCAATGCTAAACGACATGTTAGCCACAAGCGAGCATCCAAGCGTTGGCGGGATTGTGATGTCATGTAATGGTCTGTGAATGCAGGCCAAGGTGAGGCGGAATGAAGAGGACTGGTATTGAACATCGATGGTGATCTATAAACAAACAARAAATCTAAGTACATTTTTGCTTTTTCCAATGTAACAAAAAGAAACACGTCCTCTTTCATGATTTTGTATATTAAATCATTCCTTAGTAGACGTCACTTCATTTGAATTTTCTAAGTGTCAATTGCCCATAGCTTAGAAAATACAATTTCAAATCAATTTCTTTCTTCACAGATGTACTTAGAGACTCTTTTGGATGAGAAATGAATTTCCAATTGTGTCATGTGCACTTTAAACAAAACCATGTTGAAATGATGTTGTGTGAAAGCTGCTGCTGCCTATTTCCAGTCTCTCGCCATTGTAAATCGTGGTTTTTCCGTTCCATGTATGTCACAGAACCAAAACAGTGCATGAAATAAAAGGTAATACACATTGCGACGATTCACATTGACATATACTATTAGCCAGTAAATACAGACTAGAMTACTAAATACAACATTTTTTATTTTGTTTTACGGTCCAAGTGCCTTTATTCTATAACCTCACTGTAGTTGGTAGTAGTGTCAATTTCATAGTGTATTTAACTGGAACCGTACAACGTCATAAGGAAAAAGGACCATTAATATTTTTAGAAGCATCTACCTTTTTTCTGTATCAAGCTCGTTCAATACAGCAGCGTCTTCCATTGCCCGCATAGCACTGTAAACAGTCATACCAGCCGTGACAGAATGGTGCCTTTCCAAAGATATCTGACTCAGTTCCAGCTTAGCGAARACAAGAAGCTCCAGATCGCATGGAGAATAATCGCACGATACTACGAAAACATAAATAAACAATTATCTATCACTATGTTATTGTTAATTACTTTTTTTGTCCCGAAACCTCAACCTTTGAAGAAATATGCCAAAAATAGTTATAAATTGCCCTATAATGACATCACAGTATGTTTACATTGTGGATAGATGCTCASAAAGACTCTAAATTTGGACCCTATTAGTGTATCGAGTTTTGATGTATATCATTTGATTGTTCATCTACATTTTATTTGATATGCAGTCACTCTGATCCCCTCTGGCGCCCATAATCCTTAGCGTTAAAACAATACAGTGTTTTGATGTGACGTAATTATGCGATAGGGCAATTGCGCATGGTTTTGAGTTTTATGTCCTCTTATTGACACACTTCAAGCGGACGTCAGCGCAGCGTGTGGGTTCACTCCGCAAAGTTGTGAACTATTTATGACGTACAGAAAAGAAAAAAACAGTCTCTTACTTTCTTCCTGTGTTTCCAAGTCTTCTGTCTCTAGGGTTTTGATTGAGTCCAGAACTCCTGTGATTATGCGTTCGGCTTGACACAATAGTAAGCTCTGAGGAACAGCACAGTTATTGTAACATCCCACCGAAAAAAATAAGCATACAATACAAACTACAAACATACCTTCAAGGATTCAGGACTTGTATCAGTCGARATGAGTTTTCTCTCTAAAACCACTGTAAAGCTCTTGACACTTATTGTATCMTCTTAAATTCAGAAAAGTAATTTAAAAAAAAAAGTAAGATCAGCCATGAGTTGTGACTTGAGAGAATGCGTGAATTCATAATTCCGACAAATCAAACGCGTCATTCGCGCGCGCTGGATTGGCCAATCAGAATAGAGGACACGTAATGGCAGCCATGTTGTCCCATAAAAAATGTAAACAGAGGGAGAAGTTGAGATGGTTTTGAGGTGTTGCTGGAGCACTTGTAAAGTAGATGCGCGCCGACAAGTCGTACAAGCCGCGAGCGTTAGATTCCGGCGCTTTCTTCTGATTTGCTAATCGCACGATTTGTCGGAACCATGAATTTACGTTAAGGTTTCGCTGACGAAATCCTTAGAAAAAATTGTGTGAAATTGTACATAATTTGAGAGCTTAGTTTACCAACAAGTCTAAATGGCGAGTTTTTGCTTTAAAACAGCGCGAAAATACCAAACTGTTTAATTGAACAACTGAAAACTAATAGAAAACCTTCTACTCTTAAAAGGGGGAACTATCTACCAGATTTCTTGGTCTTTCCAATTTTCTTTCCCAAAGCCAGCACGGTGGAAGGAATGGTATTAGATTCGTTGTAATCTGCTTCGGCCGCCTCGGCTTCTGCTTTCTCAATGAAGAACCGTTCCAGTCTGAAAACAGCGTTGAAAATATTTACTTGCGTGAGAGCAAAAGTTCTCTAAAACGAGTTTTTATGGTGAATCTACCAGACAAACTCCACACAGATGGTATAAACGCCGATGCAAGAAAAAAAATCAGTGAACATCAATACTCACTCATCGGTCACGTCTTGAGGTATCGCATAAATTTTGGATGCCATCGCGATTAGCAAGTGCGCATGCGCAATGTTGACTTGCGCGGTGATGTGTCCTCCGTACAGTTGTGCAAGGTTGTCAGGAAGACTGCTCTCCATCAGGTCGTTCAGTACTGCAGCGTTGTTGGCGTCGTTGAAGTGTTTAGAGTTGCAAAATGCCACTTGTCCTTTCTGTTGGAAAAGATGAAATGCGTAAATTTGTGAATTTTTGTCTCCGTGTGAATCTGGCTGTAGAAGTGAATGTGAATATTACAAGTCGATGTGAATATGGCTGTAGAGGTGAATGTGAATATTACAAGTCGATGTGAATCTGGCTGTAGAGATAAATATGAT